TGTGTGTGTGTGTGTGTGTGTGTGTGTGTGTGTGTGTGTGTGTGTGTTGCTTGTGCTGTTCAAGAGGCCAGCGGTTGTGGACAGATGGCAGGCTTCAAATGCTTCACTAGCCGTATGCAGAATGCACCGCAGGGACCTTAGAGACAGGTCCTGGCATGTCCACACGTCTAACTTCCCCTCACATCTCTTCTCTCTCTTCACCCGCAGGCCACAGAGCTGACTACATGACCACAAGGTAAAGCACACACACACTTCAGGACCTGTGCATAGCCAAGACACGCATATCCAATCTACTTGTCTTTCAACAGCGAGAGAAACATTTGTGACGTGTTGCAGCCCAGCAAGGAGAAGACAGAAATTCTTGAAATTCTCATGTCACGTCCTCTGTGACCATGAAAGCAGAGGAGTAGGTTGCACTCTGAAAAAACAAAAAAACCTAGAGAGCACTAAGCAGATGTGCTGACCTCCATGTTTCTTAATCCCAACCTGGTATGATGCCACGGGGGTTACTGTACTTCCTATTGCCAACCGTACGTCAGGCCTGTAAAGAGAATGAGAGGTGGTAGTGGAGAACGCTCAGAAAGGAGGAAAAGAGAGTTTGCATGAAATCTAAATGTTGTATTTAGTTTAAAAGAGCGAATAGGAACAGATGAGTCAGTTCTCCTTCGTCTAACTTTTGTACCGTTTTGAAAGGATATAATATTGCACTGCATGTTTCACTAAAACTTGATTTTACAAGAAATGTTTAAACTAAAGTATAAACTAAACTACTATGGAGCCATAGCAGTGAATAGTCCGTAAGCAACTACTTTGATAATTTAATTTGATTAGCACATTTTTCAAGCAAAATTACACAAAAATCCTTACTCTCAGCTTCTCGTGTGACGATTTGTTGCTTTTCTTTGTTTTATATTCTTGTAAAGAGAATATCTTTTTAGGTTTTGGGCTGTTGGTCAGACAAAACAAGACATTCAAATATGTCACCGTGAGCTCTGCAGAACTTTCGTTCATTGTTTTATAATATTTTTTTAGTTGCATTAAGTCACAGACACACACACACACACACACATCCACACAGACTAATAGAGGCAGTCCACCACAGGGCCTGTCATGAGGTGGATGCTGACTCATATGACGCTCCCAGCGGGTCTGATATTTCACTGGCTTGTGATATTGTGTGGAGAAAGAAAAGACAGGATAATAAAGAAAAAGTGAATTCATGGGTTTCAGCGGTGTCTGAAAATGCCCTCATTCACCCGTCCATCATCTTCAGTCAAAGGGTTTTAAAGATTAGCCAGTCTCAACTTCAGTTCTAGTTTTTGAAGGACGTAAAGGGTATTTGAGATTAGATAAACCACTCTGAAAGGAAAACTGCATTGTTTACTTATTCTAATGCATTCTTTGTATTCTAGACATCCCAATGGGCCATTCAGAACCCACACCGGCACCCGGCGGGCTAGACCCCGCTCTGTTTTTAATGTTAGGTTATTTAATGGCAATTTGGAGTCATTTATCAAGGTACTCATCACCAGTCTGCCCGCTTGACATTGCTCCTCCTCCTGTCTATTTTCTGTCTTGCTCTGGCTTTCTGGTCATTTTGGTGGGTTCCCCCAAAGCACTTGAGCTTTGATTTATCTTTTACCAACAAACAACAACAACAACAACATAGTTGTTGGATTGCGGAAAACCTTCCCCATGAGTCGGTGAGCTCTGGCAGTCTGGGTCTGAGATGTGAGGGTGGCTCTGATAGATTTGGAGGGCTGCAGGAGGAGAGGAATAGCAGGTGGAGGGATACGTTTAGTCTCCGTCAGCTTCCTTGACTCACTGCTGACCTGGCATCACTGAGCTGCTCTGGCAGAGATATTCTCGCCTCCCTCTCCGGAGCAAGAGGCCAGAGAATACAGCAGGATAAATGTCAGTCAGGGAGCGGATGCCAGACCGATAAGGTGCGCTGCCTCCTCTCCTCCTCCTCTTCCTCCGGCCTCTTCACCGCCTCCCACTGGTGGCCGTGTCCGGTCCTGCCTGGTCCGGTCCACTTCCCATTGTTTCCTTTTGGGTTTGATGCCAGCACAGAGTGGAATGAGGGTGCGCTCTTAGTAGAAGCTTTGGTGGGCAGCTGCTGTGGTCCTAATCTGGGTCTTGCTTTTCTCTCTATTTCTGTTTCTCTGCGACTCTTCTCTGTAGCCGCGGACGACGGAACTCACACGCTCGACATCAGGTAGACACCTTGAAGCCTCTCCCTGGCTGCTTGCCTGTGCTCATTTCCTCCATCTGTCCTGCCCTAACAACATTTTAGCATTATGTTGTGTTTGTCTATGTCTTGTGTTCGTTGTCTGACTTCTTTGAGTAGACTGAGACAGACTTGAATTGAAGCTTTTCTCCTTCAACAGAGATCTTGCAGCAAATTGTGTCTTTAGTTTCCCAGCATGAACTACCTCCAACTTCAAAACTAATAGTGAATTTAGCAGTCATCCTGAGTCTCACATATCCAAATAGATAGTATTACATAATCCTGCTGCACTAGACCTGGGCCTCGACCCTCACGGCTCCACTCCAACGATTGGACCGTGCATGAATACACCTGAGGGCTGTAAACAGACCCACTGTATCATTAAAAGCATGTACTTAGTCCCTGTCCAGCACTGAGCCGCTGGAGCAGCTGGCACCGGGGCAGAACACGGTTGCAGTCCACCTCTAAGTGCGTGAGAGGAATGTGCATTCTCTGAAGGAGACGGTGCTGCTGCTGCTGCTCCTCATCTCGCCACTCCTGCACCCAGCTCCATATTGAGTGTGTGGCTCTTTAGATAAGCGCCTCTTCATTTATACACAGGGTGCACTTGATTGCTAGCATAACAACACTTAAAGTATATTTAGCAACACTGCAACCCAATCGAAATGTGTTATGGGAGGCTGGACTTGAACAATTGCATAGCTGGTCACCTCAATCTGTCTCAGTAAGATCTCAAAAGGTTAACCCTCACTGTGTACGCAAACTCACCAACTTCACTAACACCGGGTGTGCATGTTCACTTTTAACATCATGTTTCTGTGAGAGCCCGACCGATACTTGTGCAGTCCGATATCACCGGTCTGTTTATTAGATGCATTGATAGATATGTTGTCAGATATACAAAAGGAAGAAGTGAACTGCCATGATTAATGTATTCTGTACTTTTGATACATCACACTAAAACAATATTTAAAATAATTTAAATATCAACTACAGTTACTGATCAACATTTAGCGTTGTCTTGTATTGACTGGCAATTGTTTTACTAGTTGACTGTTTCTTTGGTATATCTTTATCACGTGATGTATTTTACGTTTCGAAAAAAGCAGTTTATTGCATTAGATCTTTATCGTTCCTAATTGTTGATGGCCTTCTCAAAATGATATCTGTTAAGCATCTGTCGGGCTCTTGTTCATGTGATACAAATGGCAAATTAAATATGATCTGACATTTGGGTGTTTTTATTTACTTCGCCTTCAAAGGACTCTGGACAAGCTATCCCTCGTGTGGTAGAAAGCTGTATTCGCTGCATAAATTTGTATGGTGAGTTGGTTTGTTTTTCTCACTTCAGTTAAGTGATCATGACTTGATTTATATTTTCTTTGATGAATTCTTCTCATAAACCAAACTGCAACTTGTTTCATTTCCAAGTCTATGTGACACTTCCAGGGATTTCCAGGCATTAATTGTTTTGGGTGTGTACATGTTGGGGTTCACTGTGTTCAGTCATGGGAAAATGCAGATTCCATCCTGTTTACAGCGGCGCAGCCTTTCTACACCCAGTTTCCAAAACATACTGTGACAGACAGATGGCTTAGCCTGGCACAAGTGATGGCTTATAATATTTGTTTTAAACCACATTGAAAAAGACACTGAAAGAATGCATGGAAACACGAACATTAGGCGTTAAAGAAGTGGCAGGAGGGAGATTTCATGGTTTGCAGCCTTGTTCGCTGCATCTTATTCAGCAGCAAACTGATGAAATGTAAAAGAGGCGAACAGCGGACTAATCGTGCTTCCTGCTGACCCCTGACCTCTCCCCTTAATAAGTCATAATCCCAGCTGGAAGACGCTTTAGTACAGCTTGATTGCAACCTCCCTGACTCATTAATTATCTTTAATTAGAAAAGTGAAGGGGCTTAACGACCATGATGTGCCTTTTAGGTCCAACTAAAGTAGGTTTTATTTGCTGAGTGAGGGAGTTTCTTTCTGTGAGTGGATTTATGAGCATGTTGAGTGTGTCTGTCCTTTACAGCCTGTTTCTCCTCTTCCTTACCATCTGTCTTTGTCTTTCATGTGCAGGCCTCCAACATCAAGGAATATTTCGTGTATCTGGATCCCACCTGGAAGTCAATGACATCAAGAACTCTTTTGAAAGAGGTACATGTTGACTAATTATCACGTTATATTGACCGTATTTAGCCAGTGGGCTTTTGGAGTTGTTATTTAGGTGTATTTCACATTGAATCATGTGCATCTTTAATAATTAAGGATATCCAGCTGACCTGCTCCCTTGTCTGTGTCTCAGGAAATGACCCCCTGACGGACGATGAGAACAATCATGACATCAACTCGGTGGCTGGCGTTCTCAAACTCTACTTCCGTGGTCTGGAAAACCCTCTTTTCCCCAAAGAGAGGTTCAATGATCTGCTGTCTTACATCAGTAAGGACGCACGCACACATTATTGCTAAGTCTGCCAAAGTAACATATGCAGTAGTTTATATGTTTGATAATTGTTTATGTGAATGCTTGCTAATGCTCCTATATATTTTTAATGATGTGGTTGAAGCACTGTCTCAAGTCTTTTCTTTATTACTTGCCAGTTTCCACCAGGACTACAATATCTTTAGTTTTAGATCGTATTAGTTAGCACGATTAGCATTATCAACACAATGTGTGTTCCTCATCAAACATAGTCCTCCGATGAAACGGTAGGATTACTCTGTGGTATTTGGTTGAGCACTGAGAAGGATATTATCTGTCATAAGTGGCCCGAAGCTGCCCACGCTTACAGGATTGCAGTGGAATGTTAAACGTCCGCAGCACTGAGCGACGTTTGAATCCAGAGCTGAATCTACACTGAAGTCCTCAGAAGAATAGTCACATTGTCATTTTGCTGTGACTCAGTTCTCAGATCAGTCAGCTCTTTGTATGGCTTGTTCTGATCTTTTAAGACATTACATGGGGGGGGGGGGGGGTGGGTCTGTTAAAGAACAATTGAACATGGACACAACGTGTGCTGTAATGCCCTTTTAGCTTTGTGTGTGTGTGTGAGTGAGTGAGTGAGTGTGTGTTTCCTGGGTGTACTTATTCACATTTGTGCAGGATGAGTGATGGGGATTCCCTGTTTACATTCCCCAGCTCAACAGGCCAGTGATTGCAGTGTGGGCTGAATGCCCAGCAGGCTTCATATTAAAAACCCTCTGCTTATTCCTTATGGAGCAGCTCACACCAGCTACAAGATCGCTTTTCCATTTAACTGCTTCACATTGTCAGTGTGTTTTTCAACACCGCGGCATACTGCAGCAACTGATATCTTTCATTTGGTCATTTTCAGCAGGGATGTTCTTCCGTGGGTGTTTTCACACGTGTGTTCGTAGGTGATGTGTACGCGTGCATTGGAGTAGATCTTCAAACAATAGCTTCCGTAGCACTCAGGAGCCTTTCAGAAACCAACTTAGGTATTCATGAAAAAATAAATACATCACAAGTATCCCAGAAGCCCAAATCCCAGATGGCACAAAGTGGCTGGAGGGTGACAGGGTTATTTTTAGCAGTCAGCAGAGCCCGAGCTCGGCCAATTAGAATCGGGTGCTTCAAGTGCCACAGCGGAGCGAAATGAGATAGTAATGAAAGACATGAAGGTCGGCAGTCTACTACGTTGATAAAGGAAAAAGATTGAATGATTTGTTTTTTTTAAAGTGATGATAATGTTCCTGCAATAAATATGTTTGAGAAAGAGTGACTCATCAGTTAGCAATATCCTTATTTCTGCAAGTCAGAGTGAAAGAATAAGAGAACTCGATGAAATGCTCGTAGAGAGATACTGTTTTCATTTAGAGTAGGAAAAACAACTTGGCGTCCTTGTCGTCAGGTGCTATCGAAAAGTGCTTACTTCCTTCTGCTCTTCCTCTTCGGAGTCATAGGCTAAGGTGAAGGGCACCACCACAGAGTTGATACATTTCCCATGGCCTCTAAACACACACACACGTTGCATATCACTGCATTAGTCAAACTTTGCTTGTCTTCCAGAGACTTACAGTAATCCGAATAAGTATAGCTTCAATATGTTCTTGTATTTCTATGCTGGGACTTGCTGTGGTGATAATGAATGTGTGGAAATCATCAGGTAGATCAGGTTGTGCATTGGACGTGCAGCAGAGACGAAAGCAGTCTTTATTAATTTAACTATTTTTATTTTTGTATTACATTTTACTGTATTTACATCATACTCCCTTTGTTTGCTGCTCTAGGAATAGAAAACCTGTATGAGAGAGCGCTGTACATCCGTAAGATCCTTCTGACCATTCCCAGATCCGTCCTCATCGTCATGCGCTACCTCTTCGCCTTCCTCAACCAGTAAGTTTATAGACCAGTAAATCCATCATGTCTTTAACTCTCACCACTTTATCAAATGTCGCTCTGAGTTAAGAGCATTTGCTTCTGTCGGTCGTGATTTGTTCTGAAATACCGCCCCAAGTGCATGGTCCTCTCACTCGGCCTTAACTTGGTCTCCTTGTCCCCGTCTCTCCTTTCCTACCTCCTTCCATCCACCCTCCTCTCTCCAGCCTGTCTCAGTACAGTGACGAGAATATGATGGACCCGTACAACCTGGCCACGTGCTTCGGCCCCACGCTCATGCCCACACCAGACAGCCTGGACCAGGTCTCCTGCCAGGCCCACGTCAACGAGATCATCAAGACCATCATCATCCACCATGAGACCATCTTTCCCGATGCCAAAGAACTGGAAGGGCCAATCTATGAGAAGTGTATGGCTGGGGGAGACTATTGGTGAGGAATGATGCCTGTAGCTGGTATTGCCATTGTTTCGCTATTGTTTCTTGATTGAAAGACTCGAATGGCTTTATCGCAAATCAACTTTTGCTCCTTGACAAGACACGCACGGCCTAGCTACTAGGCCGCCGTGTCGCCGGTGTCCGAGGTTCAAGTTGTAGGTTATCCAGGATTAAAAGGGGAAGATGGAAAGCATTCTGATGAGATCACTTCATGCAGCTGCACACATTTTCCAAAACAAACGTGTAGGTTTGAGAGTCGGACAGACTCCGGTGGTTTGCCTCTTCCAGTTTTTTTTCCGTACCCTTGATGGAACAGAGGCACGCAGCCAAACCTTCATTAGGGACTCACTCAACATGCAGGTATGCGTGCGCTCTCAATGCGGCAGCTGTGTCAGAAGTATGTCAGTGTAGTTAATATGAGTAATTACGCTCACCAATTTTGCGTCTGTGGTTCCGGAACATGACAAGGTAGAGCGTGTTTCAGTGCTGGCTTTAAAAGGTAGACCCTTTTTTTTTCTTTTTTAGGTGAGACAGGCTGAAACAATCACTCTGATTACCGTGATCGTGGCAGGAAGAAAAAGAAAGGTCACGAGGCAGGGAAAGGGTGATTAGGTGAATTGCAGCACATGCTGGAGTCAAACAGACCTGAGACAAACCTGAGGCCCTTTGCCAGCTCCACATCTGTAAGCAGTGCTTATCGCTTGTTCCTTACTCTCTTAATCGGTCTCCATTTCCCCCCTCTTATGCCCCCACATCACCACCGGCTGACAGGGATTAATCCCTGGCTCGAGCTTATCACCCGTCTCAGCACAACCAGGCCTGCCCCCCTTTCCCCGGCAGCGCACATGTAGCCCCGGGGAGATTTGTTGTCTTGGCTGCTTCCCTTTGTTGCACAAGAGGAGGTGGCTGGTGACATGCTAGCATGGGAGGAGACACTCAGTTCCTGGCAGGGTTAATGTGTGTGTGTGTATGTGTGTGTGTGTGTGTGTGTGTGTGTGTGTGTGGCATTACCGCCAGTGAACCATTTAGAAAAAGAGGCCCAACCACAGAGAGGATCTAAGCCTCTCACAGAACAATGACCGCTATATGAACTTCTTCTAGGTCTTATTAATTATTTTTTTTTAAACTCCATTCCTCCTTGGCATCTTCACTGAAATGAGATTTGACTGTTGGGATTTGAGCAGAAGTCTTATGTCTCGAACTGAATTAGGAGAGAAAGTGTCTTCAAACAACTTTCATTTCCTGTAAGAAAAAGAGACAATGAAAGAGATCCGGGCCTTTTTGCCTGTTTTGAAACTGTCCCATGACCCCCGACGCTGCCTTGGCTGTGACCCTGACAGTTTGCATGTTGTCCCCCACAGTGAGAGCCCCTACAGTGAGCATGGAGCCCTGGAGGAAGTAGAAAACGAGGGAGGGACAGAGACGCACACCAGCGAGGACGGTGAGTGACAATAACAACGTGCATGTAGTACATAATAACACACATACTTGTATGTGTGAATTCATCCATTTGCACCATTATTATGTTTAACCAAAAAGCATTTTTTAACCGTATCATTCCTTGAACAGTACATGAATTTAAGTTCAACACACACACTGACCCGTAAAGTAAAATGCTTTCCCTCGACTGTCCATATGCCACGTCCGTATTGAATCTTTCCCTTGTGTCCATGGTGCTGCGAGGGTTCAATCCAGCTCTCTGCATCTCACTGCAGCTAATCCTGCCTTTCAGCCTGTTAAATGCAGTATCCTTGAAGGGCCAGGGAACTGGGCTCACCGTGATGGACGGCCATTCATATTCTAATGATTTTGCTTCTCCCTTGGGGCCACGATACACTTCCACATCCCCTTTTTACAAATTCCAGGGTGGTCTACACCAACTAGACCCCTTATGGGAGAGAAACCTTGTTTTCTAAGGGTCACAGTCTTCGTTAAAATTTCCAATTCCTTTGTGTGGTTTTTTTTCAGTACCTTGTAATAGAATAGCATATGTATGGAGTATGTGTCAAGTGTCAGGTTTTAATAGCTTTCCAAATATTATACATCTGTGTTTTCTCTGTTTAACTATTTCCATGTGTCCAAGAGAAATATGAGGAAATTGAGGCAAAAAAAGAGTCAACCTGTAGTTGAGTTGAGGCTTGATATCTTACCTTAGTAACAGACCTCCCTAAACCTGTTTCCATGGTGACAAGTGCCCCAATCCTGTCTCCTTTTCACACCCAGAGATGATTTTTAGGGGCTCCCTCACTTTCGTCATCAGTCCCCATAAATGAAAGTAGGAGAGTATGGAAATCTGGTAGAGCTCTTCATCAGCTGTTGATCACTCTACTTCCAAAATAAAGTCATCAACTGGATGTCCTTTGTAAATATAAAGGACATCTGATTAGACAAGGAAACTGCTCTCTGTGAGGATTCCCACTGTAAAACACAGATGGCAGCTATCAACTCTTTGATTAAATAATGCAAGATTATGTTTTCCAGAAATCCCTTGCTACCATGGTTTTGTTCCAACAGCTTCTCTGAGCGGACTGGGAGGATGTCCTCTGTGACTTGAGCCCCTCCCTACAGAGTCTTGAACTCAAGTTATTGTCGTCAGTTATTTTTAAATCCCTGTGACCTCATTTGGATTTCAGACACACAAGCGACCCTCTTTTCCCGTTTGTTTACCAGCACTTGATTCTGCAGACTGAAATAGTTATATGTTCACAAAATGTGTTCCCTTAAAGTAAATATACAAAAGACAGACGGAGAGGAGTAAAAGTCATTCCACTTGTTGGTTTAAGTAGCTGTCCGGAAATGGTCTCGTCGGCGCTGCCCCGACACACACGACAGTCTCATGGACTGTGGCTGGAGATTAACTGTCTGTTCTAGAGTGGCAATTCTCGTACACCATCAATACATTGATGTACTCTGCTGGTAAAATTGCTACAATGTCAAAGGTGAAGAAACTGGTACATTGATTATATATCGCTTTACAGTAGCAGGATGACCTTGTTGTCAAATGCCCCATTATGTACTGTGCAGGCGGTGTATTTTACTGTACAGGAAGCGTCATCCTCTTTCCCCGTAAAGAGCCACGTCCAACCCGCTTTCATCTTTTCAAGTCCAGCATGAAGTCTCCTGCTCTGTTTGGACCAACAACTCTCACAACTATTGTATTGGTCCAAACCACATCTCACACCAGGCTTCTGCTCCCCTATTTCTGTCTGTGAACATGGATGTAGAGCAACATCCACCCTGACTCTGCTCCACTGGCCTATGTAAGACATGTGTTTGGATCTCTTACACCACAGGGCTCCAGCACTCAGGGTCAACATTTCTTTATCTCCAGTTGCTGTGTGTGTGGGTGGGAGTGTGTCTGTGTATGTGTTACCTCGGTTGGTTGGGTTTGAAGAGATTCTCAGTTATAATTGCACAACATGACGGAGGGGATCCTTTACCACACAGAGATTTGAGTTTATGGCCTGCCGTTTTCAGCTGCCGTGTGTGTGTGTGTGTGTGTGTGTGTGTGCGTGTGTGTGTGTGTGTGTGTGTGTGTGAGAGCGCCTTGGATAAACATTTGCAGTCCGGAGGAGGATGGAGGGATAGATGGATGGAAAGGTTGAAGTGAGAGAAAGATGAGGGTTCTGTCAACTTTATTAACAGCCTTGTCCGCTGCAGTGCAGCACAATTAATTCTGACAGTAAATTCCTGCTTGTCACATTTTATTGGAGCCGTGTCACATGCACCCTCTCAATCCTGACAACCAAGTGAAGCAAGGAAGGTGGCAAGTTAAAGGCTGGAAAACATATACTGTATCTAATAGAAGTAGATGAGGCTGAATAGGACACTGAGAGAAATGAAGAAACGACTCTTCTCAGAATTACGCCTGGATTTCATCTATTACGTGGTCTCTCTGCTCAACTGGGAACCACTTCCAAGCTCCTGTGAAAGATATACCATGATGGCTTTTCAAAGCGGATACAAGCTTTAGCCATTTACTGTGTTCGCAGTGTATATAGAGAGCCTGGGTGAGGCTACGTCTGTCCAGGGGGTCTGTCTGACTGAGGGCAGAGGTAGGAGTGAGGGAGGGATAAAGAAGCTATTTTTAGACCCGTGTTGCTGTAGTGCATGCATAACGACTCGGAGATGGGGAACCTTTTGAATACGACTGTAGCTGCTGTAAAACACATGTTTTCTTCAGGACAGAAATGGATAGAAGACAGATTTTCAGTGATTTACAAAAATGATGGACAGAGAGAGCAATCTGTACAAATGCATTGAAATGAAGCATAAAGTAGCTGCTCTATGTACCACTGGTTAGTACCGTCTGTCATAACTTTTCCTGGTCTTTCCCGTGTCACTGATCCAGGGCTCTACTTGTAGAGTTATTGAGTAGGTATTAACCCAGTCTAATGATCCATGCAGTGACTGACATGACCCTGAGTCATATAGATCTCCTCTCACCAGCTTCTAAAAATATCCTGCTAAAGCTCCTCGGGGCCCATTGTTTCCCTGGCCCGGTGTTGTAGAGCCGAGTTACTATTGACTACAACTACAATAAACAACGTGCTCAGCACACTTGAACTACATGTGCACGAACTGCACCACACATGAGCATCCTTGTGTACGCACATGCCAGTGTTAGACCTGACTAGACTACTGCACCAGAGCCAACTTGTGCTTGCGCTGTCCATGCGGATTAAGATTGTTATATCATAAGACGAGTTGTCTCAATCATTAAAAATGTCCGCACATGCGATAATAGCCGTCTGTACTTGACCTGTCTAATCCTCTTTCTGTTGACAGAGGGCGAGCCCATTGAAGCCATTGCCAAGTTTGACTACGTCGGGCGCTCGTCCCGAGAGCTGTCCTTTAAGAAGGGCGCCTCCCTGCTGCTGTATCAGCGGGCGTCGGAAGACTGGTGGGAGGGACGGCACAACGGCATCGATGGCCTGGTGCCGCATCAGTATATCGTCGTCCAAGACATGCAAGTGTTTTTCATTGAGCGCAAGTTTAGATATGACCAAGTAATGCAACAATGTCAGCATCGAGCTAATTAACATAATACAAAAAAAGACAATGCTCCAGATGGTACGCTGAGGAAATTCTCCATCTCCACTGTGCTCCAGCAGCCTTTCTGTCAGTCTCCCGTTCTCAGCACTAACAAGCATGCTCTGCCATGGCGACTGTTGGTGCCTAATGGACTGGATTCACTGTCTCGTTAGGACGGGAACAGAATCGCTCCAATCACTTAGTAGCTGGCTGGCAAAGGGTCCATTTAACATGCCTTCCCCTCCTTCCTCTTCTGCTCTTTAACCTGCCGCTGTCCCGCCACTGTGCCTCTATCAATAATTCACCAGGAGGGGCACTGCTGATGGGGTGTCCTCTTAGTTAATGAAAGAGCAGTGGAATTTACAGCTGCACGGGTTGTCCCCGAGCGCAGTAACATCCTGCTCTCTACTTAAACAGAGCAGGCTGGGGTGTGTAAGAGCTCACAGGGTTGTGATCTTCACTTGTCCCATAAAAGAGCCCAGAATAAAACATGCAGTGAGTGAGTGAGACCACTTCAGCACAGGATGTCTCTTTTAAACTTCCTCGTGACTGTCTGTACATTTTGTTTACCGCCGCCTCCACAGGCGGAGAAGTGCTCGCCCTCGCTCCGTCTCTGTCTCTGTGCATTCATGTGGATACGCTAAATAAGCGACTGTGTTTTGTATCGAATAATGCACATCATCAGAGGCAGCCGTGCAGCTCAGTGGCTCTGATTACTGCCACCTGATAGGCACCAACTGTACCCAGTCTCCAGGCACACACCTCACTGAAAGCCATACAGCTGGCTTGTGTGTGGGTGTTTGCGTGTCAGAGTACATCTCAGGCCGAGGCATATGACTCATCGGACTCTCTGGACCTTGGGGGGGGTGCTGACTCGCAGGAAACTGATATGAAATACTGTCATTGGAGAACTGTGCAAATACGAAAGATCGACTGATTTGCTGATTTCTCCTTTTGTCTGTCTCTTTTTCTGTCACTTCCTCTTGCTCTTTCCATGTCTCAATGTCACTCTGTCTCTGTGTCCCAGAGATGACAACTTCTCAGACACTCTGAGTCAGAAGGCTGACAGCGAGGCCAGCAGCGACCACGCTGGAGAGGAGAAATGCCTGGGAAAAGACATCGGCTCTCCCTCTGACACCAGGATCTCTGAGGCCTATATTACCAGGTTGGTTTTCACACGGCTGTGATATATAAACAATTTCTATAAAGGACCTCAAAGTAGGAATCTGGCATTTAAAAAAATCTTTGCATTCTCTAAACAGTCCACGAAAGTTTTGCTGTTCTAAACACCTGATGTTCTTCGGTGTAAGTTTTATGTGTTTAGCACAATAAGTTAAAAACACTGCTGCTCACCAGATAAGGAGCCAAGGTCCTGTGAGTATTTTAATAACTATGTTCATTATACATGTTGGGTGTTATCATGCATCCCACTGTTAATTAGTGCCAGTCCTGCTGTCACCATAGTGACCAATGTGTGACCACGACACATCTTGGACATCAGCTCTATCTAATGAAGAGACGGCCAATCCAATGACGACTGACATGTCTGGAACAACGTCAGTGTTGCATCATCTAAGATGCTTGAAATAGCCTCAGGTGTGAATACCAACACTCCAACTCCAGACACTTGGAAAATAAACAAACTTTACATTTTTGGGACTTAGACTATTGTATGATGCTGAAAATATCCTTGTTTTCAACCTTTTACTTCAACGCAAGCTCACACCGAGAGTGGTTTAACAGCATGTATCTGATTTGCTTGTTAATACGAGCAAGGCTGGAGGAAGCAGGAGACACCTGTGCACAGTATGCACCCAATCCTCATTGTTGCATATGCTGCCTCCTGTCATTCTGTGTCCTCGGCTCCCATCTCTCAGCTTAAATGCCTCTCTCCCACTCTGATGTTATTATGATATAGTATGAGTTTTCAATACCCGGCTGGTATCAACTGGTCACACAAACATACACATGCACAGAGAGAGGAGACGCACGCACACGTATCCAGTCACACCTCAGACTTTTTGGCAGCGTCTGTCTGCTGGTGGCGAGCCAGGATCTTGTCTCCCGCTCCCCTCTTCATTGCTGCGTTTCTGGTGGTGGAGTAAGCTGACCTTGAAGCGTCTGTTAGCGGCTCTTGCCAAGCCCGTGAACAAATGCTATTTTATTCAGTGTCACACTCACTCCCTCTACTTCACTGTCGAAACGTAATGATTCATACTAAAGGCCATATTTACACCACTGCAGGAATTTGTATGCAGAACGGAGAATATATGTGAATGACTCATCTTTTTCACGTCCGCATTAATGAAGCTCCTCTACAACAACACTCCCTACCTGTCACCCCCTCCCCCCTCACTTTTCTGCTCTACTATTCAAACAATCCTCATATGTGTTGAATCATTTATATCCTGAGCTTTATTTAGATATTTTCCTCTCCTGGTGTTCTCCATCAACAACAACACTCACCAGACGGGGCCCTCTTGTAGAGTTTGGCATCACGATCTAAGCGAGTGTCAGTAAACAGGACAGTTAAATTAGTGCCTCTTTTAGTGGAGAGGATGCACATTCATGGGGTCATACCAAGTATTAAGAGTTGGTCCGCTTTCTGTTATGGTGGAGAGGAACTCCTGGAATTCCTTGTGATATGCATTATAATTAGCAGAGGGCCATAGAAACAAAGGGTGGGCCGTCGGTGTGGGGGACAACTCTCAGAGTAAGTTGCAGTGCCTGTTGTTGTACACTCTGTCCCAGAGGTACACAGGTGTTATGAATGTACACTGCTCCCCCTACTGGGGGTCAGTGGTTCCTGCAGTTGTTTACTAATCCATATTCCTCACTGCAGTCAGAAAAATATATATTTCTCTCTCACCGCGCGTACCGCTCCACCAATGAGTCTTTAACTATCATCAGCAGCTATTAGCGCTGTCAAGAAGCTTAATTCATACGTTTTACATTGTATTACATTCAGATATTTTGTTCCCTCTGTTTTGCAGCGTTTGAGCAGGTACGTGTTTCAGGGTGTTACATAAGCACACGCGGCTGTTTGGACTTTAATTAATGTAGAGGCTGGCAGTTTTCTGTGGCTTTGCACGAAGAGTTGCAATTACGTTCTCTGAGACCCTCGCGGTCCTTAATATCCGTACTCATTATTGCTTTTAGTTTAGCGCCGTGATGCCGCTGCCTGTAAGTCTTAATGATAATGGCTGAGACGGCGTTCATTAGGCAGACGCATACTCTCAGATGAAGCCATTTGCCCCGGAGAAGTGATTAAAGGATGAGTACGTCACTGCTGGTTCATCATCACAAAGAACCAATAATGCAGAATGAAAATAGTTAATCTGGCATCTATCAGCCTTCAGATGATATTGATTTAATATTTCATGTTGTCGCCATTTCAGAAAAAGGTTACACCAACTGAAAGAGTGACTGTATAATACTGACATTATATTTTAAGTTTCTTTTTTTTTTTACCTTAAATGAGATGTTATGTAAGAAATATCAGGTAACTCTATTTTTAGATTCTCTCAATGAACTGCTTTGCCACCAGTTATGCTTACTTATATTTCTAGTCATCTAGCTGCTAGACTGAAAGTGATGATAACTGCTTCGTCATAATTATGCAGAGCAGAGCCCATTAGAGCCATACTGAGGAGGATGTGGTGCTGTATTGACCTTTTATGGTGCAATAGAACCTTCTCGAAGGAGTAGACGTTACTGTGGTAAAACATTGTGCATAACTTGTAGCACGTGTCTCTGTGTAAGTATGACTGAGTGTGTGTCTGATCCGACATATGCATTCATGTTCAGCTGTGTGTGTGTGTCTGTGTGTGTCTGTGTGTGTGTGTGTGTGTGTGTGTGTGTGTGTGTGTGTGTGTGTGTGTGTGTGTGAGTGAGTGAGTGAGTGATATCAGGTGTGTATGGTGCTGTGCTGGTCCAGGTTCAGATAGAGGACATCTGTCCTGCTGAGGCAGCTGTAGCTTCTCCCAGGGAGCCTGTAGTGGTGCTCTGACAAACAGGCCTCCCTGCTCTGGCTGGGAGCCAGGTTCTCTACCTGCTCTCCAAATAAGCTGGTCGAAGCTGTTGGGCACTGACATCAGGGTTCCTATCACGCCACTGATGATTGTTTTGTTTTATTCCAGCAGTGGAAAATGTTTGAGGATGCATGCCCACATATTGTAAAATAGAAAACCTGAAGGGTTACTGTGTTTTCAGAGTAAGACCGCCCTCTGTTTAAGTTCCTAAAAAGTTTGGGAGATGTAAAGTGGCACAATAGCTTTGAGTAAAAAGACAAGCTGCTTAACTCAAGGTGCAATGTATGGGTAAAAGATGGAAGCTGTAATGGAATAATAATTAGCTTTGTTGTTTCCTCTCCGCCCCCACTCGTCTCTCCCAGCAGGCACAAGAAAAGATCAGAACCACCATCCCGGCGGCCCCCTGCACGCCCCAGTGATGTCCACTGCATGGTGCATCCCTCCCAGCATGGTCACGGAGGACACACCCCGGAGATGGGCTCCCCAGTCATAGGCCACTTCAGCCCACGGGACATGCTGCGGAGTCGCAACCACATGCCCATGGACAGCCCTGAACGCCGCCGCCGCACCGGCCTCGGCAGTCTGACCAACATCAGCCGCAACGAGTCGCTGAAGAAGATAGAGAGCCCCCCGATCCGCCGCTCCACCTCCTCGGGCCAGTACACGGGCTTCCCTGACCCCCACCACCACCACCACCACCACCACCACCAAGGCGGCAAGCCCCTGGATCCGGAGACCATCGCACAGGTCAGCGCGGGACGAGCAGCGACCCGACCGCAGCTCCCTCCACCATCAAAGCCCTGCCCCGCCCTGTAAAAACATAGTCCGTCCCTGTCCTCTGCTTCCTCTGGCTGCAGCTGTGTCCGTGTGCTAAATACACGCAAAAGACTAGCTTCACAGGCAGACAGCTGGGAGCATAGCTCGACACTGGGACTCATTGCAGTATATTTGCAGTCTTGATTGAGAGCATGCTAAAAACAATAAAAAATATGAAAAACTATTACAGAATATATCGCTGCCTAACTGGTAATACTTTTTGTTCAAGCAGACATCCATTTGTGCATCACATACTTGCATATAATAGTAAAGCCTCCGCTCGATTACAAAGCAGAGGTCACAGAGAGCACTTTACGCTGTGCTGTGCTGGGCTGTCTGTCTGCCTACTGGGAGCATGCTCAGATGGACACATCTTGTCATCTCTGCATCTCCTACACTATCCAAAGTCATTAGCATGCAGAGGGAGAGGTGCTGGTGCGAAGTAATACTCTCTACTTACTCTGCGTGTATAATGCATGCTTGGTGTTTCCATAAAACAACCGTCAGTGTGGTCTTCTGTTAACATCGCTTTTTGTGCCGTACTCTACTGTCTCCGTCTCTCGTCTTTGCCGTCCATATAACCTCCTGTTTCTTTCTCCCTCTTACCTTCTCTTTTAGTTTCCTCTCATATTGAATCCCAACCCTTCTGTCTGTCACTCATCTCCCTCATCCACCACCCCCCACCCCCCCTCTCTCTTACACTCACTCTCTCTGTCTCCTGCAGGACATAGAAGAAACCATGAACACTGCTCTGAATGAGCTGCGTGAGCTGGAGCGTCAGAGCTCGGCTAAGCACGCCCCCGACGTGGTGCTGGACACCCTTGAGCAGCGGCAGACCTCCGGCGGCAGCGGCGGGGGTCCCACGCCGGCCAGCTCCAGCGAGTCCCTCAGCCCCATCCACGGCATCATGCTGAGGTCCACCGCCAACACTGAGCCTCCTATCCGCCGCAGCACCAGCTCCTCCAGCGATACTATGAGCACCTTCAAGCCTCTGGTAGCACCCCGCATGGGGGTGCAACTCAAACCCCCCGCCTTGAGGCCCAAGCCCATGCTCCTGCCCAAGTCCAACCAGGCCTCACAGCCTCCAGCTACATCTGCTCAGGACCCTCTGGACAAGTCCTGCACCATGTAACTCTGGGAAGGGAACCAGAGATGTAAAACAAAAACGATCAACTTCCAGGAGGCTGCAAAATGCCACCAGTGTCGAGTCTTCATAGATTTAGAAACATGTAGGAGCGTTACAGCGGTGACAGATTCGTCAGCCGGACTAATCTTCTGTCACAATAGCGTGCACAGTTATGTGTTAATGTGCTTAGTTTATTATCTAACAAATATCTTCTCTTTTTTTCAAAGAAATTCAAACAACAAATCACAAAGGCTTCCTTCAAGGTTTTAGAGAAACGTACATTAGTTAGATTAGTTTACAGATATTAATGAACAAAACACGCTGCATGTAGCTCCACTGTTTAACCACTGAACCTGAAAGGCTTTTTGATGAGAACTGTAGTGACCAGAGTGGCATTCTCTCACACACGGAACTAAATGATGTACTTTTTTTTTTTTTTTTTGCTCTTACGTAGGACGGCCATCGAAGGTGTTGTGAACTGGTTGTAAGGCCTTATCGACTTAGAGATGTAACTGATTTCACATGTTAGAATATTCTAAAGGTGCTGTGACTACCTGGACAGAAATGCTTTGAAGGTCGGACTGAGGATCCCTTAACAACTACCAATACTATGTTAATAGATAATAGTGCTGATTAGCAGTGTGCTTTCCTCACTAGCGTGTAAACTGCAGCTTTCTTAGGCAAGGCACACCATCTGTTGTGTCTCAGAAATGTACAAAGATCACCTCTGTGCTGGAGTCACTCAGTTATTTTAACATGCTTCCACATTGTCTGGAATGAGATACGACTATTGGATAAAACCACTACTTCATTATGAACTTGATGCATTCTTGAATTCCTGCATCAATAACTCATGATGCAGGAATAAAACATGCCTCGTAATAACGTATGCCTTTGCATCTGTATAAGAAATGGTGGAGCAGTGTGAAACATTATGATGACCAATCATTTCCTACCTACAGTATATATATGACACATAATGCTATATTACACAGTGTGGAAGACATGCCACAGCTTCTTTTTACGCCTTGCCTGGCTTGATCTACCCAAAGACATGACTGTGCGATTTAAAAAGTATGGATGTGAACCTCCAGATATGATGTGTGTGTGTGTGTGTGTGTGTGTGTGTGTGTGTGTGTGTGTGTGT